GCCCCAACGGCTGAAAGGGCGAGCATGTTTGGTGTGACGGGGATTCAAACCTGCGACCAGCAGATTGCGAGTCGAGTGCCCTAACCACCTGGCCATACCGGGCCGATTTTTGTTACTATATAAACATTAAGCATGTTGTTTTATCTGGTTGATTAAATTATGAAGCCTTTATAATCATATTGTTTGGTCTGGTTGATTAAAACGTGAAGGATTTATAATCATATTGTTTAGTCTAGTTGAATAAATTATTAAACATTTATATTATAATCATATTGTTTGGTCTGGTTAATTAATTATTATCTCTTTTTTTCTGCTTTAGAGAGGACCATCCAAATGTTATTGAGAGAATCAAGTGGATTTCTCAGAATGGTAACCCTAATATAAGCTAAAGTTTCAAATCTTCTGTCATGTAATAAAAATAGTATATTTATATTGATCAGTATTTTTTATAATCATAATTATGTTTGCCAATGTCATTATTAACCAAGGTTTATGAACTTCATTGTAATTTTATTAATCTTTCACCAGTTTAATCATAATCCTGGTAATGTTTTACTGATGTCAGTGTTAATCAACCCAGTTTTGTTTTACCAATGTCAGTATAACCCAAATTTTGTCTGACGAGTGTATTAGCCTAGGTTTGTTTTACCCATGTCACTATTAACCCAGTTTTACCTATCTTACTATTAATCCCAAGCAGTTCAGTGGTGTTTATTTTAGATATTGTTTAATCAGTAACATTATATTTTGTCTAATTGTTAATACTACTGGCAGTTTTTAGAAGTTTTAGGTTACAAAAGAATGATAACAGGCCTAGGGTATTATTACGACAGCGGAAGTCACGTGACTCTGGTAACACGTCATGAGATTCTCGAAGGATCTCGACTTTTCCTGGCAACTCTAGTCTGTTCTAGGCGCCCTCTTTTTTGTATATAAGCCAGACAAATAAAGCGGAGTTAAGATTGCAGATAGATATATATACAGACAGATAATTGAGTCAAACGAGCGGTAGTGACGGTAACATAAAGTGTGTGTTTTGTTATCGAGATTGCAAACGTATTGACTGTGGAAATTCTGTGCATTGCAAAGTTGTACCGAGAAAGAATAAACTAGTTTTAATTAAGAAAGGACTTGTATCGCTGAAGTTTTTCGGAAAGAATTTCTACGGGAAATTAACAAACGAACAGAGACGCAACAATTTGGTGTCAAAGAGTGGAAAGGAAAAAAATGGAAACCAGAGGTGGCAAATCAAACTACAACTTAGCAGATTTGATGGCAGCAATACAAGAACAGCAAAAGAAACAAAAAGAACGAAAAATAAACAAGAAAGTCTCCAACAGTTGAGAGAAACTCAGCACACACAAATGGAAAAATGAGTAAATTTCAAAATGAATTAAATACATTAAA